TATAATCATGAGAAATACTACCGCACATTATTAAAGAAATCAAGAAGAAGATGATGATGGAAATGATAAAGTTATTTTCACTTATTTTATGCTTGAAATTAAAACCATTTCATCAGTGTTACTTTAGTAGAAGCATATTTTCCAACTTCAAGCAACCAAATGATTCTTGTAAAGAATTCCTTGTATTAAGGCAGATGCAAATGCTACTTCATTTGACATGCAGATGCAAAGTATATAAGAAACTATGCAGAATTGATACCATCAGACATAATTGCAATGTGTTAAGTAGCCAGATAATTGGCACTTGGGTAAGAAAATGGCACTTAATTTCTATATGAGTTTTACTTAACTATCAAAAAATTCTCCGTCTAAACAAGTTAAAACATTGAACTGTTAATACTTCAATAACAATTTATGTTTTCTAAAATTTCCAAATGTCCTCAACGAAAAAACAGCCAAATTGAGGATAAGGAAAACTCAGAAAATAATTATTTTGTTTTGACTATTCCCACCCGTCCTCTCGGGTAGAAGATCAAACTATAAGATAAAATAGCTACATCATTTTAAAAGTTTTTCAAGCCATCCTTGACGCCGATAGACTGAGAATACAAAGAGTTGGCCAACGAAGCTCCGTCCAGAGACAAATCAATAACAATGCCAATAGTCAGAACATGTCTCATCACCCAAAGCCTCACCATTGTGATTATGATGGGTAGACATTAATTATGCCAAAAGAGAAATCAAAATTTCCAATGAATTTTAAATGAGAGTAATATTAAACTAATTTGGATCCCTATCTTGAAATCTAACTAATGCACTGAAACATGTATGCAAAAGAATAGCGAAAACCAAACTATTTGAGCAGGAAACATATCATGGTATATTTCTTCCACAAACAGTCAAGGACAAAGAGCCCTCTCCTAATTCCAACACAATATACTTACATCCCTTGGTCCTCCTCCCAGAATACTGGTACAACACTTGTTACCATACCGCAACTCAGTTCACACCTTTCAGGATTCTTTATGGAAGGGATCCACCACCGTTGGTGAATTATCAGAAGGGGACGACCCCTGTATATCTAGTGGATCAATACTTGGAGGAGAGGGATAAGGTGTTGGGAGAATTGAGGGAACACCTATTGAGAGCCCAACAGATCATGAAGACCAAGGCGGATGCTCACCGCAAGGATGTGACATTTGAGGTGGGAGAGATGGTATACCTGAAGCTACGGCCTTACCGACAGAAGACTTTAGCTAGCAGAAGAAGTGAAAAGCTCTCTCCCCGATACTACGGGCCTTTCGAGATCGAAAGGAAAGTTGGGATGGTGGCCTACCGTCTCAAGTTGCCTCCTCATTCCTCCATCCACCCTGTATTCCATGCATCACTATTGAAGAAGAGCATAGGGGATCATACCGTGACCACTCCTACTATACCCCGAGGCCTCACCGAAGATATGCAACTCTTACTAGAGCCACTACAGGTGATGGAAGTGAGGAAGAAAAATCAAGGCAAAAGGGAGGTTCTCATCGCGTGGAAGGACTTACCGACACACGAGGCTACTTGAGAGATATACGAAGCCATGCAGACGCAATTTCCAGATTTCAACCTTGAGGAAAAGGTTGATCTTCTAGAGGGCGGTATTGATGGACCGGTTCACCCGGTCCATCCTAGACCCGTGCGGGTCTATAGGAGGCGGGCGGACCGGCTGGACAAAAAGGGGCCCACCCACTTAAGTGGGGGTAATTTGGGTATGTGAGGGACTTTTGGATTGTATGAAGGGGGCCATTAGGGTTTAAGGGGCCCACCCACTTAAGTGGGGGTAATTTGGGTATGTGAGGGACTTTTGGATTGTATGAAGGGGGCCATTAGGGTTTAGTTGGAGGCATTATGAAAAGTGTATTCTCTTTCTAGTTTTCTTCTTCTAGTTTCCTACTTGTTCTTTTCTAGGGTTTTCTTGTGGGAGATCTTGTCCTTCTCGAAGTGGACAAACTTATCTTGTTTTCTCTTGGCTTTCTAGTGCAAAGTTTCTTGCTTTTCATCTCAACCCTCTTGTGATTGTTTATCTTTGCTTTTGGTGGAGAAATTCCTCATTTTTGGGGGAAATTAGGGCAAAACCGAAATTGTGGAACCCTAGGGCGTATCACAGTGCTTCGAGTCCTTGATTTGGATCCATTTTGGCTCGGATTGAGTCGAAATGGTGTCGTTAGGTTCGTATTTCCGAGACGTTAAGTTTGACTATAAGTTTGCTGAAATAGGAGTTCGGATGGTCCTAATTTTAATTTCGGAAGTTTCCAACTTGATTTTGCCTCGAGATTCGTGCCCGATCAAGATAATTTTTTGATGATGTATTAAGACTACTATCTATTTCAGAAGAACAGCAGTTCTTATCACGACAAACAATTGGACTATTATCCATTTTCTAAGAATAGTTACACATCTTATACTATTCACCCACTTTTTGAAATGTTTGAGATTTACAAATCATTGTCCCTTCCAAGTTGCCAGCATAAATTTTTTTGTTTATTTGAAATCAACTGCAAACCTCAATCATGTAAAAATAGAAGTTGAAAGATACAATACATGAAAGGATAAGAACCCATGATCTTTTAAAACAACGAGAATAAGAATGTTCGCAAACTAACCACTCATCATTGATGATTCAAAATGAACACAAACAAAAAACTCAACCGAATAAATCAAAAAGCCATGTTTGCTTACCTAAAAATCCCTTCCGCTACAGATATATATCTGCAACTGCCTAATAACGAATATTAATGGAAATTCAAAGAAACCGAAGCTTATTGCATTGCAAATTGTGCAGGAGGAAATGACATCGAAGTTGAAATTGAAATATTAATAGAACTTAAACGAAAATAGACTTGCCCATTTCTTTTTTTCCTTGAAGGAATACCCAAATAATTGAAGAATATACCAAACATAACAATGTACACGCTTCAATTTTAAGTAGAAAATCATAAAGAGGAAAATGCACATGTTCTAATTTACTTGGTCAAACCAATTCCATATCAACGCCACCAAAACCAAAGAGGCAAGATGTAACTATTAGGTAAATAATATTTCTTTTCCGCTTAATTCCTCCATCCAAACCATAACCAATATAAAGGCATTCCGAAAAGGCTCGTTTGTTAAGTTGATGAACATATAGAAATAGAGCTCGTTCATAGCTCGTTAATGCTTGTTTGTTTAAAGCTTGATAACCACTAAACGAATCAAATATGAACCAAACATAAACTTAAACTAAACATGAACACCCATTATTTTAAACGAACCAAACATGAACAAAAAAAATAAAGCTCGAATCAAACACGAACGAAATTGAACAAGCTAATAATAAACAAACTCAAACATGAACACTCACATACTCGGATCAGCTCGATTCATTTGCAGCCCTATCCATGACTAAAGAAAAAAGATATTAACTTAAAACAGATCATTGATGTAATCCAACTAAAATAGAAAAATATTTGGTCAAACCATCTTGAATTTGAACACAAGTAAAAACTTCTACATACATAACCTTAAAAACTTAAATATAAGTATTATTAACGCTTCTCTTTTCTAAAACTCTCAAGA